TGTTTACACATTAAAAAAGTTATAATGTTTTTGTTACCTTTTATTATTTTTATTTGGCAAGTGGTGGATTCAACGATTAGGGACTTCTTCAATCCACTGTGTTTCATGTTTAAACTTTCACCTTTCTATAGTTTGTAATTTAGTGAAGTAATATCACTTGTTGTAATTTTTTTTTTTTGCCACTAAGTATTACGGTCTAATGGTATTCCTCTTTACTTGTAAGTGAGAACACTTAGATTCAATTATCGCCAAAAGGCGAATTTGAACCATATTATTGCTTAGCTCATTGTAAGGTATTAGCTTACTCCCTCACCCTTTTGGTATAAATACTATCATTTATTAAAAAAAAAAAAATCCTAAGTTATAAGCATTTAAGGGCAATAAGTTTGAGATAAGATTTAAGCTACGTTTGTTAGAGAGAATTGACATGAAGAGAATAATGCACTATATTCAAGGCATATTAAAAGAAGAAATAGATGACAACTTCAATTTTGTCAAAGTAAAAGGTAGAAGATGAATCACAGTAAGAAAATGTTACTCATTGTAATCCTCACAAAAATAGTAGGATTAATAGGGCTAACTTCCCTCCATAATTACTACAACTTTTACCTTTATTAACGCAAGGTTCTTTCAGACTCATTAAAATAATATATAGTTCTTGTCGGTTTTAATGCGATGGACTTGAAGAGAGCCCACTAAAGGTGAGAATATGAAGGCATTGGTCCTGCAAGCCAGCCCAAGGAATCCAAATGACAAAACACCACCACAATAACGAAAGACGATTGCCATCACTGACCGCTCATAGCCCTGAGTTGTCTATTGACAATAAGAGACGAGCGCAGAACTTAAAGTGGACAACTTGAGCCAGTTGGCATACCTAACAATGCATTTGCCATATGTGGACAAAGAAGTCATGAAGCCACGCAAAGTCATCCAACTGTCTCAAGCAATCTACTTTAAGTTATGCAAGTGGTGTGCTCGGTATGTGTTGGCTCGGGAAACCATGCAAGTAGCACTGTGTAAGTGTCACTTCCTCACCACACCATTATGAGTCTAAGACTTTTGGGGCTGACTTAGGGCCTATATAAAAGGGTTGAATGCTCCTCAAAAGGGGTTGGATCCATGAGAGGAAAATTACATTACATTATTGTAATCCATATCAAATATATATCAGATCACTGTAGTGGGCGTAGCCTTTTTTTTTTTTTTTTTTTTTTGGGATGAACCAGTTAAATCCTTTTGTCTATATTTTTTTGGTTGATCACATTGATTTTGATTGACCTCCTAGTTTTGAGCGTAACAACCTTCAATTTCGACAAAGGGTTGTTCTCTCGACTTTTCTCATTTCTCTTCTCTTTTCCCGATCTCTCTCCCATTATTTGCGTGCATCTTATATTGCGCTTTCTACCCAGATCCAGGTTATTCCCGTCTCAAGGTCTCTTCCTTGTTTTATGGCTAGATTCGGGGTGGGGTTTGAATTTGTGGTTGTTGGGTCCACCTGCGTCTGTTAGATTCCGTGGTGGGGATACTCTCCCTTTACTCGTCTGTGGCTGCACCACCATTGTCAGGTCTAACAACGGCGCTACCTTGGCAGAGCAGATTTGGCGGCAACAACACCGTGGTTGATCAATCTGGTGGTGACACCATCTTGGTTAACCAGATCTAGTGTTTGCACCTCATGGGGCGATCAAATTTGGCGTTTGATCCACCTCATAGTACCTTTCAAATATGGCAACCCCACCACCTCCCTTGATCGTGGATGTTGCGGATCCAACTGGAGTGGCGACATTGCAGATTGATGTGGCTAGAGTGTTACTGGAATGAGTCGGCCAGTGACTATCTTCTGGGATAGTGTAGTTTTGTCATCTTGCCTAGCGAGTGTTGTAGCCGCGCTTCGACGATGGCTAGATGTGATCTTCGCCTTTGAGCATTAAGATTTGTAGTCTCATTTTTCAACAATGACTTTACGTGATCCCCTAAAAATTACTTTGCATCTAATCAGTTACTCTATCCAAGCCAATCATCTCTAACAAACGCATGATATAATTAAGGTTTAAGCTCTTTCAATGTGACATTAAGGTAGGATGGAGAACAATGAAAAATCAAATAAATTCCCAAGTCAATTTTCAGCTAGATGGTTTAAAATCATATATTCATGCCTGATGATTAATTGTCCTGTTAGTGTAGAGCCTAATTAATAACTTTTAGTGAAGCTCAAAACAGTGCCTCCTTGGAACCTCTGCATTCCCAGCTAGCCAGAAATGGACAGACAATTCTTAAAACTTAATACATTGCTCTTAGTAAGAATCTGAACACCCAGAATCAAAAAATTCAGATATTCAAATGAAGAGGAAATTGATGTTTCTAATCTATTACTTCTTTTGGGTCAATTTATGTTTTTAGTGGATTGGTTTATATATGCATACAATGAAAATAAATTACTATTGCCCAAGTCGATATCATTTCTATTTCTGTACAATTTATATTTTTATAAAGGTACTTAGTTGGTCTTGTTCATTGTTAATATATATAAGTATAGGAAATCTTTAAGGGAAATGATATTTTTTTATATATATATAAAAATGGGGATTAGTTGTGGGGTCCACATTACATTGAACTTAACGATCCGAAGCGTCTATATTTCAAGTTGCACCTCATAGATCATCCTTGCAAAATATTAGCTAAATCGAAAATGTTTAAAACGTCTAATTGGGTTCAAAGAAGTTAACGAATACTTTGTTATATAAGAAACAATGAAATTTTATCTTGATAATTAAATAGGCAAATGGTTTCGGATTGAATTGAATTTTTGCAAGGATGATTTATGAATCGAGACTTACGAATACTTTGTTATATAAGAAACAATGAAATTTTATCTTGATAATTAAATAGGCAAATGGTTTCGGATTGAATTGAATGTTTGCAAGGATGATCTATGAATCGAGACTTACAAAATAGATGGTTTGGATCGTTGAAGTTCGATGTGGAGTGAGTCCCACACCTAATCCCTATTTTTTTGAAAAAAATGGTGATCCCTTTGCATAAAGGGCCTGTATAAGTATATATGTATATGAGAGGATGGATTCGTGACATCACTTATTTTTATATAATTTTTTACCTATGTTTTTGTGTGGTCCACTTCGTAATGTATTTCAACGATCCGAACCGTTTATCTTTTAGGTTTTCCTATCATGTCTACCAAAATCCCCCCAAATTTGAACTCATACGACTGTTGGATGTCCATTTTCATCACTACAAATGATTATCTTAATTGTTTTGGATTTGTCTAATTATTTTGCAAGAATAATCTATGAATGATGTTCTTAAAGATAGACAATTTAGATCATTAAACTACATTACGGAGTGGACCCCACAAAAACGTAGGGCTCACATCACATCGAACTTTAATGATCTGAATCATTTATTTTTCAAGTTGTACCTCATAGATCATCCTTACAAAATATTAGCCAAATCAAAAATATTTGAGACATCTAATTAAGTTAAAAGAAATTAACGAACACTTTGTTCTATAAGAAATAATTAAATTTCATCGTGATAATTATATAGGCAAATGATTTCGGATTAAAATGAATTTTTGCAAGGATGATATGTGAATCGAAACTTGTAAAATAAACAGTTCGAATCGTTGAAATTCGACGTAGAGTAAACCTTACAACTAGTCCTCATTTTTACCAAAAAATAGAGATCCCTTTAGAGAAATGGCCTCGTGTGTGTGTGTGTAGATGCTAACAGAAATAATATTAGAATATGCTACACTGTTCGTATCGATCGATGACGCAATGGATGACGTGAGTTGTTAATTATAAAAATGAAGAAAAATCCACAAATTATTGTTCAAGAATCGCAATATAAATTAAATAATACAAAGATGCAACATGTAGAAACGTAGGGGGATCTATGCGTCGCAATGTACCTCCAGTTTTGCATGCATCTGCTTGTTTTTGCTCATTGTTTTCATGGAAGCCGGCAAAAGAATAAATTCAATGAAAAATGCATTGGGAGGCTGGTCTGGTCTGCATGCTACATGTTCAACAATCCCCATTGAATTGTTCATAAATCGGCCTGCAATCTTCCTACACGTGCTTAAATTGTTCGTAAGTACGTAAATATGTGCAACGAAGTCGGAAATACGAATCGCTGAATGGAAGAAGATGAGGAGATGGAGTTTACGATCCATGAAAATGAAACTTGGAAAGAAACAAAAACAGCACTCTAGGAATCGTCACAACCTAGTGTGGCTGAAAAGGGTAGTAAAGAAACAACGTTGTTTTCCGCTGTAAAGAACCTTAGTTTACCCGAAAACATTGGAGGTGTAAAGCTGACTGGAGCACTACCTCACCAATAAGTAATCTAGATTGATGTATATGAAATGACTCACAAAAACAACTTGTTAAAAGCATGTCTCACACGTTGGAAATCTGATCAAGATCTCTATTGCATCAAGGCTTTTTGTATAAAACCTCGTAACTATTGAATTACGCAGGTGATCAAGTTAGGGCCTTATTGATGTGCTTAGTAGTGAGCCGTTGGATCGTCCCTTTAACTTTAACACAACTTATCTGTGGAAAGAGAAAAAAGATTGAAGAAGGTTCAATGGGGCAGGAGGCCGCAGAGAATAAGACAATGCAGAAAATGACAAACCCTAAAAGGTGTTTGGATTACAGATAACATAGTTAACTCCCAGGAGAGGAACAAACTATAAAATCCAAGATTATGGGAGTGTGACATACATAGACAAGCCTTGTCCTTGGAGAGGTCTTTGCCGTAAAGTTTATTGACGAGTTTTTCTGATGTTTTGTGCAGGTAGACACCATCTGTCCTAACTCTTCCCTTCGTTCGAGTTTTATAATCTCCCTTGTAATATCCGAAATTACAAGAAGATCGCTAGCTATTTAAGTCCTTGCTGCTTGGGATTGGGGTCTTTCAGGGCTTTAGTGAATATATTTTGAGAAAAGAGGAGGGAGAAGAGAAGGATAGGTATGAGAGATGGGGCCAAACCGAAATTCCTGCCTAAGGAGTACATGATCAATAATGAAAGGACTAATAAAAGGAGTGTCCTTGATCTCATTACTCACTCTGCTGCCTCAGCCATGCCTTGCTATCCTTATCCATACACACCCTTTCTGGAGGAGGGCGCTACAGTTTCTATCCTCCCTTACTCAGACGAAAGCGGAGACCATAAGAGGCTGAAAAAGAATATAAATATCTCCGACAGTCATAACAGCCTTTATAGTGGTGGAGGAAGCGAAAGTAGTTGCATTACTGACATCAGCCTCAGCCGCAGCAGCAGCGCGAATAGCTTCAAGACCTTGCCAAGGCTTCATTTCAGGGATCATATTTGGACTTACTCACAAAGGTACCTTGCAGCTGAGGCTGTTGAGGAGGCAGCAACAGCTATGTCCAATGCCAAGGAAAACAGAGCGGAGGAGGACGGAACTGCTGATGGGATGAGGCTTGTTCAGCTCCTAATTGCTTGCGCTGAAGCTGTTGCTTGTCGCGACAAGTCACATGCCTCCGCGTTACTATCTGAGCTTTGGGCCAATGCTTTGGTCTTTGGCTCTTCATTCCAGCGCGTGGCATCATGTTTTGTCCAAGGCCTTGCCAACCGCCTAGCCCTGGTTCAACCGCTCGGGGCAGTAGGGTTCATTGGGTCCGCAATGAGCATGAAAGACTTTGCCTTGGACAAGAAGGAAGAGGCATTGCGCCTTGTTTATGAGATTTGCCCCCACATTCAGTTTGGTCACTTTGTGGCCAATTCATCAATATTGGAAGCCTTTGAGGGAGAGTTTTTTGTTCATGTGGTAGACCTTGGGATGACCCTTGGTCTACCACATGGAGACCAGTGGCGAGGCTTGATCCAAAGCCTTGCCACACGTACAGGCCAGCCACCTACACGCCTTAGAATAACCGGGGTTGGCCTTTGCAGTGACAGATTGCAAATCATTGGAGGAGAGCTCGAGGCCTATGCCGAAAGCTTGGGAATAAACCTGGAGTTTTCTGTGGTGGAAAGCAATTTGGAAAACCTGCGTCCGGAGGACATCAAAATGTATGATGGTGAAGTCCTTGTTGTCAATAGCATTCTTCAGTTGCATTGTGTGGTGAAAGAAAGCAGAGGAGCTCTCAATTCTGTCCTGCAGATGATCCATGAGCTTTCGCCCAAAATCTTGGTTCTTGTGGAGCAAGACTCAAGCCACAATGGACCATTTTTCTTGGGGAGGTTTATGGAAGCACTGCATTATTACTCTGCAATCTTTGACTCCCTCGATGCCATGCTGCCAAAATATGACACGAGGCGCGCGAAGATGGAGCAGTTCTACTTTGCTGAGGAGATTAAGAACATAATCAGCTGCGAGGGGCCGGCAAGGGTGGAGAGGCACGAGAGGGTTGATCAGTGGCGCCGGAGGATGAGCCGTGCAGGGTTTCAGGCTACGCCGATTAAGATGCTGTCGCAGGCAAAGCAATGGCTCGGAAATATCAAGGTCTGTGAGGGCTACACTATCATGGAAGAGAAGGGTTGTTTGGTTCTTGGTTGGAATTCCAAGCCCATTGTTGCTGCCTCCTGCTGGAAATGCTAATCATACATTTTTCGGTTCCAAAATCGCAGCTCAAAATTCAGTTAAAAAACCAAAAAAAAAAAAAAGGTACAAAAAAAATCCCAACTCACATTTCACACCAAATTCCAATAAAACAATTCCAGGGATCTTGGAAAGCTGATTTGGGTGACTACTTTGTGTTCTGTGTCATTGGCTGCAAACTGTGTTGGAACAGTTGAAAAATAAGTGAGTTTGGCTTTCAAAGTTGAGCTGTTTAGATGGAATAAAGAGGAAATAGCCTCCTTCGTGTGGATATTTAATTTAGGCTGAGATTAACATTATTTCAATTGTACATGAATTACAATTCATTTCATTCTTTTTTATAATCAATGGTGACAATCTTAGTGATGGAAATTATGAAAGTTCCACACAGTCTCTCTCAAAAATTATTCTAAAGCCAATCTCAACTTTCCAATGTAAAGGGTTCAGATTTTGTAGAACAATGTGCTAGATTATTGGAAATCTAATGTCCAAAATAATAGAGCAAGTAAATAATTATGTTGAGGGACATACAATTTGCTACTTTTCTTCGTAATTGTCTTCCTCATTTTGCAGAACTTGTAGGTGAAATTAAACTTTACATCAATGGAAAATGGGAAATATGCACGGATAGAATGATTTCAATAAGAAAATCATACATACAATAAAGTATGTTAAACTTCAGTTGATATACAAGTTGTCAAGTTAGAATATTGTTTGGAATACCAAATTTAACTCACATCAACATAGTCTGATTTATTCTAATATGTATTCCGGTTAATTATTAACGCATACATCTGTAGCATTATTGATACAACAAATATTATTTAACATTTTTTTAATAAAAAACAAAAATTCAAAGCTCATAGGTGTATGAGTCTCCCAAAGCCTTGGCATTATTTGAAAGGCATATTCACAAGAGAAATTCTATTTTATTAAGTGAAGAGGGCTTGTCAACTTTTTGTCCCATTTTCTTCTAATTTTGCCCTCACTTTTGAATACACAATGTTGACATGGGAGGGCAAAATAGCAATTTTGTATTTTTTGAACTTTTTTCTTTTTTCCTATTTTGCCATCACTTTTGATACACAATATTTACATAAGAAGGGTAAAATAGTAATTTTGTATCGAAATATTTACATAAGATAAAAAATACACACTTATTAAGAGAAATTGTCCCACCATCATTTTTTTCATACAGGTAAGTGAAATCATGATGTTTTTTGGATTAGTTGGAATAAACTGAAGCGGTTGCGCTTGAGGAGAACGTAGGAGGAGTTGGACGGTTGTTTACATACACGGAGTGTGTGCTCATTTTCTAGTATATATTTACAAAAAGTTTAGAAAGAGAGGATGTTATCTAGTACGGTGCATATCACAAGTCTTAACTCATTTTTTGGTTTCTTGTTCATCAAAACGGTTTAACTATAGTGTAATCCAACCTAATTCTTGACTTAGCAAAGAAAACAATACTTATCGTCTCAATAAATTCTCATATAATTTCAGAAATTATTTCAACCAAAAAGTTAAAAGTAAATTATTTATGAAAAAGTGCGGATCCTTTAAGAAAATGAATCCCTATTTTATAAAAAAATGCGGATACCCTCTTAATCATTAGATTTGATTTTAATGAAATTTTGTAACTAAGATTAAATCACAGATCATAGAATCTCAACCACAATATTTCATTAAAATCAAATCTAACGATTGAGAGGATGCTATCATTTTTTTTTTAAAAATAGGGATTCATTCCCTTTAAACTTCCTGAAAAAGTGATTATATAAACACGTGCAGGGAGGAAGGGAGGGATAGAGAAAGCGAGAAGCAGAGGGACTCGATGGAAACCGTGGCAGTGTTTGGCGGAGCAAGTCCAGGCTTTCCCTCATCCCTTCAACGCAGAAGAAGCTGCAGTAGCTTACCCTCCGCCCACCACAAGCCTAACCTACGCGCCCACCACCACCACCAACTATCTGCATTCCCTTCAAGCCTCCATCTTTTCTCATATTTCCCAGCTCGTCCCCATGCCAGAACCCTCTCCAAACCTCGCATCTTTCTTCCCCACTTGGTTGCTTCACTGGTTTGCCTCCTACCCTCTTCATATTTTTCAAAATTGTTGAAAACCTATTGTTTAATTTTCCATTTAGTGAAAACTTACTTGGAATTTTTGGGATTTTAATGGCGGCTTTGTGTTTTTTCAGGAACAAGTTGATGAGACGTACATAATGGTGAAGCCTGATGGAGTTCAACGTGGCCTTGTAAGCTAATTCAATTCTCGAACTTTGTATATTTTGTATTTTTCTTCGCCAAATTTTAACGGCTCTATGTTGTGTTGGGGTAATTGGTAGCTGGAAAAACACGGGGCGGCTATGAAATTTCTGAAATTTTGTTTGTGTTCTTAATTTTCAGTTTCTGGGGTTTTGAAAAAACGAAAGCTTGAACTTTAAGTGAATCCAATTTATTGACTGGACAGGAGGAAGACCTTTCGGGTTTTTGATTTTAGCTTGGTATTCATGGTATTATCCGAATGTGTGATATGGGGTGAATTGTTTTAGGTTGGAGAGATAATCTCAAGGTTTGAAAAGAAGGGATTTAAGCTGACTGGCTTGAAGCTCTTCCAGTGCCCCCAAGATTTGGCAGAGGTTTGTCTCTTTTCTTTTTTGCTTTATAGAAAACCCGAAATAAGCTTTCGAAAGTACATTGTGATATTCTGGTGGTTCTGTGTGGTCACTTTTTAAAGCCTATTGATGAGATTCAATCTTGTATTTAGTATGATTTATGCATTCTTTGCAATCAATCTTCAGAGACACGCAATTTTAGTCTCATTTACAGTGTTTAAGAGCATATATGTATTCATGGAAGAGTTAGTATGGTTCGACTGTGTGCCCTTATGTGTGTGACTTTTGTTGTTTCAGGAGCATTATAAGGATCTCAAGGGAAAGTCGTTCTTCCCCAAATTGATCGACTACATTGTATCTGGCCCCGTTGTGTGCATGGTATGAAAGATTGATCCTAATTCTCCTCTGTTTTTTACGAGTCACATGGAAACCAATGAATCCGAGGTGTATTTTAGCTGTATTCTCTTACAACAATAGTGATCATGATGTTATGCTAGCAAGGCATGGGAGGGTGTTGGCATTGTATTTTAGCCGTATTCTCTTACAACAATACTGATCATGTTGTTATGCTAGCAAGGCATGGGAGGGTGTTGGTGTTGTCGCTGCAGCACGTAAGTTGATTGGGGCTACAAATCCTCTACAAGCTGAACCGGGAACTATAAGAGGGGATCTTGCTGTTCAAACAGGAAGGTTGGGCTCTTTAACGTTTTGGTAGTTGAGTACTGATGTCTATTAAGTTGCATCCGGTCACTAGTAGTTCTTTTACTTTCACTTGATGGTATGTGGACTCTAATGGGGAGAGATCTTGTATGAAAATCTTGGCAGGAACGTGGTTCATGGGAGTGACAGCCCTGAAAATGGAAAGCGTGAAATAGGTAGGCTTAACTTTTTTTTATTTTTTCCACATCGTTACTCTTTTCTGATGGATATTTCTCATCTTAAACCCCGTCTACTCCTTTGTCTCATTTGTTATTTGAACGATGCAGCTCTCTGGTTCAAAGAAGGTGAATTATGTCAGTGGACACCAGTTCAAGCACCGTGGTTAAGGGAGTGATTTCTCCAAAACTCAGTTCTAGCGAGGGACACGATTTTGAAAGAGTTTGCTGAGCCCCTATATCTCTGTGGGTTATGTATGTGATCTTAGACTATTCAATAACCCGTCATAAACTATCATGTTAAATCTGAGATTTTGAAGCTTGAAGAATTTTTTTCATATTCCTTTGGCGTTGTACCTTCACATTCTTTCAAATTAAATGATGAATTACAAAACAATTCCACATACATAAACATTATTCATCCCTCAATTGGGTTTATAAAGTTACAATACTAAATCGGCTTCACACTGATCGGGCACGATCATGCCCTCCGTTTGCAATTTTCTTCAACAACCAACGTAGATAAAGACCATGACAAATCGCCAGTGCGAAATTAGGCGCAACTAGCAGGTAAAGAGTTCGTACACTCCTGTTCCGATGTTCTGTGCTGTTAAAAGATTGGCAACCGATAGAACTTGGAGAAATACTTGCATTCTCTGTCATCGTTGTATCCCCAGAGGTTGAGCAGATTGCTTCTTGAGCTCTCTTAAATTTTGAAAAGAGGTAGAAAACTGAAGCGTCTGTGCTCCGTTGCTGTTTCAAGGTGCCTGTCGAATGACAATCACTGAAACTCGTCGAACTTCTTGGTGAGGAACAATCCGTGTCTAGTGTCATAAACTCCTCTTGAGGAGAGCTGGCGGCTTCAATACAACCCGGTGAAGTGCCAGCAGAAGAAGCACAATTCGCGTCTATCTTCATTGGCTCTGAATCGGGAGAGCTTGAAGTAGAACCGGCATCTGTCTCCCCTGCCTCATTAGAGCACGGACTTAAACTGCGTTTAGAACCTAATTTGAGCTTCAAAAGTGTAGACTCTGCATCAAAGAAAAGGGAAATTAATGACAACGATCGCGTTTGCGGCCTAGCAGATAGCTACCCAAGAGAAAAAAATTTCCAAACAATACACCAAGCATTCTTCCAAAGTAACAATCTTAGCTAGCTAGTAGCTACATGTAAATTTAAACACCTATACAAAATGAAGAACTTGCTTGCCCGAAAAGGGAAAAAAATCGAATTGAATCGCTGGGTTTCAAACAACGGTGGATCTCAGATTCTCCGTCACCAAAACATGGCTTCATGCGCAGATTGAAGAACTAAGTAGGGAAAAACAACGCGGTGGGCGAATAGGCAATACAGATTTCTGCTAAGATTATGAGGTTGCAACACTCCATAAGAAAAATGTCAGTGAAGCAAATTATCAAACAGTTGGCAGTGCCCAGAAACAAGCGCGATGGAAAATACGTCTGCAAATCATTCGGAATACAAAAAAATAAAAAATAAAAAGGACAGTAATAGGTGGAAGAGGAGCAGTGGTGTTACCGTATATAGAAAGAGAATCGTCTTTACGAATCTTGGACGGCGGTCTCTCCAAGCTCTCAGCCGGGCAAGACGACGCTCTTATCCTCCCAAACATCTCTCAGCCTCTCTCTCTCTCTCTCTCTCTCTCTCTCGGAGATCTGAATCGTGTGGTCTTCACTTTGAGGAGAGAGAGAAAGTAGAAGTGAAGGGCGCGGGAGAAACAGAGGAATGGCGGGAAGCATGATTTGAACTCTTTCTTTTTGGGGCGAGCCCGACTGCATTGACTGGGCCAGACCCTTGGCAATTTTCTTATTTTATTTTATAATTACAAAGATCCTAAGGATTTGAGAGGTGGGATGTTGGACACGAGACCTCTTATTCACAACTAAGGAGAATGTTATTAGATCGTAATATGTTTCCATTTGAACCGTTTGCTTGCAACTATACACCATACGGCACACGCAGTTGCTTCGTTGTGCTTTTGCTTGGATTGCCTTGGGGTAGCGAGGATGAATGTGTTTTTATTTTTAGAAGATAAAATCAAAGTAAAGCGGTTTTTAGTAGTCTTATTATGATTTAGGGTTAATTACGGTAGTGGCCTCTAAACTTATACCCGCGTTCTACTTTGGTGTTTCAATTCAGTTTGCAAAGTATATAGCCCTTCCAATTGCATCACGTGTCTTTAGTCATTCCATCTCCATTTGAGAGCTAAAATGATCAAAACAGACGAAAATGTGATGAAATGACTCAAGTGAGACCCGTGACGCAATTGAAGGACCAATATGGAACAGGGGCATGAGTTCATGGACGATTGTCGCAACTAACCATAATTACACGTAGAATAGAAGTGAGAGCATAATTACATAACGAATACAGAATATGCACCATTGGATGAATTGAATTTTCGTCCTTTACGTTTAACATTAATCACACAATTAGGAAAAACACTATCACTATATCAGTAAAAGGCTGCCTCTTCTTACAAGATAATCAGTCTCTCCTGAAGAACCTCGATAAACCGCGCCTACGACCTCTGGCTTTGATAGGCCTACCTGGTAGAGAATGTGAATGAAAGAGACATCAGAATACAACCCAAGGGGTAGTATTCAAACATTGAAATAAGAGCGATTCCGTGAACATGCTTCCTCTTGACGGGTTAGCACAAGAATATGGAGTTTGGAAAGGCTACCTTTTAATCTCCCAGCACGGAACAAAGCTTCTTCTGCAATTGGTCTCCATTGTTCCGCACATGAGTAGTTGATTCCCAAACCGACGCTAAGTCCTCTCAGGAGATGCACTGTCCGAAGTACAGAAAACAACTCCTCTGGAAAACCCTACAAGAGCCAGGGACAACAGGGGAAACAGCAAGTAAAAAATTGCTCGTAAATTAGGAAACACAAGACATTAGAGTAAGAGAGAAAACAAATTAAGGCCTTTACTAGTTGATAACCAAAGTAATGAAATGATTTGAATTAAGGTGTCGATGAAAATATGGAATCTAGGGATACCTGAACCGCAATTTTTTTAATTGAAGATTCGTCTGAAAAAGGTTGCAGCATCGTCACTCCGGGGGGTAATTTTGTGTCAAACATTGTCTGTGCCAACTTCAACATTTCATGCTGTTCATTTTCACATTTGCTTAAGGTTTCTATGCCAAGCTCCCTGTAAAGAGGAATAAATTAGTACAATGTGCATACACAGTCAACCGGGAAAGTACCTTATTAAACTGAGATTGAAAAACGAAAAGAGGTCAATTTTTTACTTAGTCCCATGATTCATATATGCAAGATGAGCACAGCAATTCAACTATTTTCTTTATTGCGATTCTATCTCCATGAGCCTTACACTCACATGCACTTGCGTGCAGTTTGCAGCTTGTATGTTAGCCTTAGTTTCTTTTGCCTTGTTGGCTACTTATTCCCATTTATAATAAGTATAACAACAACGGTGAAGTTATTAATTACCTGTAGCTCTCTGATGCTCTAATAGGGTCACCGTCAGCAATGGCAAGAACAAGGTCAGCATAACCAAGTCTCAACTCATTGGGTAGATCTTTCACTTGGCCGTAGTCCAGCAAGGCAACCTAACTTGCAAGAATTGTACAAATTCTGAATCAGCTTACCGTTCAAATTAAAGGAAATCTTATCTATAATATAAGTTATCAACTAGAAAGACAAAAGTATGTATCTTTCCTGGAGAAAAAGCATAAAATATGAAAGATTTTCCTACAAATTTAAGTTGGTCATTTACCTCCGAGCCTTTACAGATTAGAATATTGCCTGGATGAGGATCTGCATGGAAGAAACCAGTCTTCAAAATCATTTGTCCATATGCTAGCGTCAAGCTTTGAAGGATTTTCCTGCATATTTAGAAAACAGATCATTGTCCTTCTCCATTCCTTATGAGAGAACAAACTAGCTAATAAAAAGACAAACATGAATTTTTTTTTCGAAAAGCTAGAACAGAGAACTTTCTCAGAATCTTCATATACGAAATCAGTTTGCAAAAGAAGGGGAAAGTTAAGGTATTGAATTGACCAAAGGGGCCCTTCCTAATAAAATACATGAAAGTTTGAATATCTAATTTTGAAGAAATACGTAAAACAATTAATGAAAATAAATAAATAACACTTTATTGACAATTAAATGCAATTTTATAACATACACATGTAGATAAACAATTCAGCAAACTCTGGACGGATATGCTTACTTCTTTGCAGCTGCTGCAATCTTACCACCAGGGTTTATGCCTCTTTTCGCAATTTCATCACCAAGGTTCAGGATTGGGGTTCCATCAATATATTCCATAACTAAGACTCTCCTAACCAAACGAAGAACACTTGATCAGATCACAAGACTTACAGCGCCCACAAATAAATGGTGCAACGATTTGACAAGGAAAAACCATCAAATGCATCATTATTGGTAGGGAAAGAAAATGGGGTGCAACATTACATACCTAGTGACCATATCACGTATAAGTCGTGGCACCAAAACAGGACTCCTTTTGTTATTCTCATACAAAAAGCGTCTAATCTTTTCCATAGCATCAGCCTCCCTCATGAAATCAAATTCGTATCCAATCTTAAAATGGAAAAATCGAAGATGGTTATTCTCCAGATTTTGATGATTATATTTCAGATATAATCTATCACACGAATGATTCCACAATTTGTGTGTATTAGATACCTGTTTCTCCATTTCCTTAGTTACAGAGTATAGATCAAATTTGATATCTGTCTTTTGCATGTATAAAGCGAAGGCTTGGACGTTATGGATATCTGTCATCATTAGGTCCTGAACTCCAGGATGTTGCACCTGTTATAGCCCAAAAGAAATCAGAATTTCACAGAACATAAAGTAGCCACAGAGTTTTCTAAGTTCCCTCACCTTGACAACAACATCAGTTTTATCACCTCTCAATCTTGCTCGGTGAACCTAGTTTGAGCATAAAACACGTATCAGGTAAAAATGTATATGCTTCCACAACCATTTTAATACCATTTCCAGAATAGTTGCCTCCGATACAAAACAGCTAGCCCAAAAAGGCATTAAATGCAAATAAAAAGATAACTATAAATTCCAACAAGAACTCTGAAATTTGACGAATTGTTCCTTAATCGTAATATCTGACCAAAAATCTTAAGTATTAATGCTCTGGATGCAAATTACATACTTATAGAAGAAAAATATCAACATCAAGTCATGTCAGCTTTCAGAAAGTTTCTCTTAATTAAAAAACTTGATACTGATACTAGCTAAGTATATTAACTAGCAATTTCAAATTACTACTGTAACTTCTACTGTGGCAATTTTAGCAAACCAGAAATTACTCATGAATAGAAATACCTGTGCAATTGAGGCAGAGCCAAGAGGATCCACATCGAATCTTTCAAACACTTCGCCAACATTTCGACCCAACTCCATCTCCAACATAAGTTGCACAGCATCAAATGGGGTTGCAGGAGCGTGATCACACAATGTAACAAGCCTTTTCACCCATGCAGCTGGGGCCAAGTCTGGCTTCCCGACAATTTGGGCAACCTAATTGAAACCCCATTCAAGAAGTAACTCAGTATTCAGCACAAAAATTACAAATACCAAAAACCACCAATGATGAATTCCAAGGTTCTTTAAAACCAATATGTTCACTGATAACTAGTAACTACCCTAATCTGGAAACCAATTGGAAATCAAATCGAAATGAACAACAAGTGTTTATACCATATTGGGCCTCACCAGGATCCACCAACCAAGGGAGAACTTTGACCCTTGATATTTACTGAGTGGTTTCTATTAGGCCACATTACCCTTACATTGTGTCCACATGTTGGAACCAACTTAAGAAGTTTAGAAGCCTACAAAAGGGACTGCCGTAGATGCAGCCAGGGAGGCTTTCCTCACCTTCGTTTGCACTGTTCTTCTCTCCCAAATTCTCCGTAGAAAGGCTCTTATCTGATGCCTCTCCCATGTAATATGTCTATGTATCCTCAAATACACTACAACATACTACAGAGGACGTAGCCTGGTTATGGGTGACCCACTACAATCCCGTGTGTATGTGTGTGAATGCGGTACTACCAAGCTAGATCACTCTCCAACTTAGACCCACTCTAAGTCCTAGTTGACAGTCTAAAATGCACTTCAACAACAAGCAATTGATAAAGCATGACTCTTTAACTTTTCTAATCATACACAAACATCCAGTTTTCAATACAAAACACATAATCCAAGTGATTTCCCAATTCCGCCCCCTAAAATTAAATCCAGTGGCACAAGGGCAAGGAATGAAGGAATCCATACGAAAAATTAAAACAGTAAATTCATCGAACACCTTGAGGAAGAAACCGCCAAGGTCCGAGCACATTGCATATATCTTCTCAGCTGCAAATTCATGCTGCCTCTCCCACATTTCCTCTTGTTTCTTCGCATCCTTCACCAAACTCACTCTCAGCTGAAACGCCTATCAACACCAAACAAAGAAAAAACCATCAAATCAATATCTATCACCAGGCACTGCAATTCTCAAAGATTCCACGCGTGCACCCACAAACATACATACAAATACACACACACACATATGTAGAAATATCTATATATATATATATATGTGTGTGTGTGTGTATGTAGAGAAAGAGGTCTGGGGACCTTGTAGCCAGTGTAGATATCAACAGCTCGAACCCAGAACTGAAAGGAACGCTGCCATGGCCTGAAATGGGTGGCGAGCTTCTGCTGAACATCTTTGAGATCAATGGGAGGCAGAGGAAGCATAGCTCTCTGAGCTTATCTTGTTCTTATCGCAATTGGG